TTTTTTTTGATCTGAATTTCAGACGCGTTCGAACAACTCGAGGACGAAGAAGGTACTCGTCAAGGATTCTGTCATATTCGAATCCAACAACGTACTGGTCGTAAGACGATTACAACTGTGCAGGGGATTGCACCCGAATATGATTTGAAAAAAATTGTTCGATATTTGAAGAAGGTACGTTTTGGTCTATTGTATTTTCAGTATTCGATCCATGTGTTTTGTAAACTGGCAGTTTTGCATGAATCAGAAATATACGGACTAAATTTCTACAGTCAAATATATCTGTTTTTCGGGCAATATTTTTCAGACTGAATTGAAGCATTCTTTCATTCTTGTAATTCATAACTAACACCTCAATTAACAGAGAACTAACCTCATATCATCTACGGTACTAACGCACCTCTTTTCGTTCTTCAGTTGTTTGTTCAGTTTTACGAATCATCGTTATTATTCGCTACGAAGATTACTTATCCAAATGTGATTTCCTCTTATTTTCGGTGTTGTTGATTTAGGTTTACGAAATTTGATAATGAAACTGCAAGAATTTCTAACGTGACTCTATTGATTCAGTAGAATTTAGAATAGAATTTCGTCATTTATTCCTCCTCTTCAGCATTTCNATTAAAATGATGGATTTGTGATTGATTGGATAGGAATTCAGTTGAGATGGAGGTGTGAACGTTGTTGAAGTGAGTGAAGATTTGTAGAAAGTCTAGTAGAATTAGGTTTCAAATTGCAGTGAAAAGAGAACAGAAGACGAAAGACGGGATCAATCCATCCATCTATTATGAAAATGAATGTGAATATGAAAATGTTATTGCCCGTATCAATATTGCTATTGCGATTGGTGAATATATTTGTTGTGCAAACTTGGTTTGTTCCCGATGAACTGTTTCAAAGCGTTGAAGTAGCGTATCATGTGGTGTTTTCGACTGGACACCTGGCATGGGAATGGACAAATTCATTGCGTTCAATTATACATCCATACTCGATTGCCATTTTCTATTATCTATTGAAAATTTTTGATTTGGATTCGAATTTTGCGATTATTTTTATACCGAAATTGTTACATTCGTTGCTCTTTGCTATGGGAGATGTATGTTTCTATTCGTTAGCAAAACGTTTACTGCCGTCATTTGATGCGAAATTTGCACTGTTCAATTATCTGACGTGTTGGTTTTTGTTGTATTGTGCACCGAGGACACTTTCGAATTCAGTTGAAACTGCTTTGACGTTGATTGCNTGTTGGCCATATATGAGCATAGCGACACTGGCCATTTTAATACGACCAACTGCTGTGCTCATTTGGATACCATTAGGATTGTGGCATTTAGTCAGGTCGAAGTCGCGACTGGAACTGATCATTTTTACGTGTCTACCGGCAATGCTGCCAGTGCTAGTGGTAGCGTTCTTGTTAGACTCATTCGCCTATGGTGAATGGACATTTTCGGCTTGGAACTTTGCAAAATTCAACGTGTTCCAAGGCGGAAGTGCTCATTTCGGTACAAATCCATGGCATTATTTCATTACGAATGGTCTACCAGCCGTACTAAGCGTTCAGTTAATACCTGTCATTAGTGGTTGTTTTGTAGCGATTCGTTATCGTCAAGTAACGTTATCATTGCTCCTCACATCACTCTTTTACATCACTTTCCATAGTGGTTTAGCGCATAAGGAGCATCGGTTCTTGTTGCCGATTATACCATTTCTGTGTATTTATGCTGGGCATTTCTTTGGTTACTTGAGAAGAGCTGGTGC